TTTGGTACATTGCCCTTCTCTTCACCCAAGTCAATATTTATTTCTATCTATCTAACAGCCTAACCCTTGTTTTTAAGTATAATTACATGTCTATACTTTCAGAAGTCAAAATCATCTGGTCCAACTCTGCATTTTGTTATATACAAGGAGACTGAGGCACAGAGAAGTTAAGTAAGCCACTTATCTAAAATCACACAGCTTCTCTTATGAAACCAGCCATAGGATAGGAGAAAGCTTTTGTCTTTATTTTTAATTGTCAGGTGTTCTAGGTTCTTTGTTTGTAATGTGAAAAGCCCTAAATGGTAACTTGAGCTGTTGTTATTGTTGTTTTAAGTGACTCTTAAATGATTCATTTTCCTTGTTGAATGGAGACCATTGGTGCAGCAGGTGAGCTACAGGGTTCTGGGCTTGGGTGCAGTGCTCTGGGGATAAAGGAGTCACAGGTGTAGATCTGCAAGACTTAGGTTTTTTTTCTCTCCTCCAACTTCAGAGTTAGAAAGTATGCACAGGAAACCAATCCTTCTGCTTGAAATAAACCCCATGATTTTCCATCCCCTTCTTTCTCTTTAGTAATGAGATGCTTAGGTGTTCCAACCCGAGTCGTTTCCAATTTTCGGTCCGCACACAACGTGGATGGCAACCTGACCATAGACACCTACTATGACCAAAATGCAGAGATGCTGCCAACTCAGAGACGAGACAAAATATGGTAAGAGGCACTTGAGTTAGGTCTCTGCCCTACAACAGGTAGGGGTAGGAAAACCTTGACCTAGATCTCTCCAGCCCTTGAGGCAATATTAGGCTGTACCTTGCTGCTGTTGTTCAGAAAATTATTTGCCAAACTAGGAGGCTGCCCTAGTTAATTAGATCATCAGATCAAACTCATTTCAAAGACAGAAGATGAGGGGATAACATTCTGAAGCCAGTAATCAAATAAATATACTGTGTGTCATCTGAATGCTGAACTCAGCATCTACATCCATCTTACTCTTCTTTCTCTAAGCCTTTCTGCTTGTGCCATTCTGGTTCCTCTGTCAGGAGGAGAGCCTGAACTTGCTACCTCAGCTTATCTCTTCCTGTCTCTCTTGACTTTTTCCTCTCGCTGCCTCACACCCTCTCTGAGCATGTGTGTGTGTCCCTTTATTTTGTATCTCTCTTCTCTTGCCCTGGTTTCTTTCTCCTTCTCTGCTCTACTCCAAATCTGGTTTCCTGTTTTTCCTTTTCCAGCCAGTTTCTATGTAAGCCCTTTGAGTTACATGCAGGACTTTGAACCAGTTTGAACCAGTTTGGTCATGCCATTAAAGCAAAATCAGAACAAATATTGAATTTTCAAATTTTAGGTGAAGCTGAATGATAATCTGAACAGGGAAAATTACAGGTAGAGGCCCTGGAATGGGAGACTCAGAAGGGGTGTAATGAGCATTTCAAGAAGCTGATGAAGGAGGTTAGATTATTGCCAGGATTAGGGAGTGTGACACACATTCAAAACAGTATATTTTGCCACCATCTTTTTTTTTTTTTTTAATTAGGATTTGGGTGAAGATTTACAGAGTAAATTCACTTTTCATACAGCAGTTCACA